TTTCACTACCCCCTGAAAGGTCATTATCGCCCTTATATGATCGTCTGATCAGGCTTTCTTGTAAGGGGGAGGAGAGGCAAGGAACGGGGACCTCCCTCACCTAGACTGGGCTTCAAGGGGGAGGAGGCCGGTGTGGAAAAATGGACGAGTGGAAGCTATAAGCAGCCGTCCGAAACTCGATGACCTCTGATCTCAAGAGACCGTTTTCAGTGGTCCCTAAAAGACTTAATGAGGGGGAGGGAGGGAGGCAGTTAGCAGTCGATTAAGCCCTAAAGTCTGCCCTTCAACAAAGCTTCCCCGATCAATCTACGGACAGTATTATTGTACACATCAGCTAACAGCACAACTGTGTAGTAGCGTCAGCAGGCGGTTCTGAAAAGCCTTACCCACAGAGTCGAATGAGACAGGGGTAACCATCTGCGGCATATTTTCCGTTTTCATCTTCAAAACCATGACAGCGAATATCTGAAATATCATTGGGTTTGTCGTCCTACTCATTAAGCTACGGAATCGCACCCTGGGGGCTGCTATTGGGAATAATAAAAGTTACAGAAGCAACACTCAGAGCTTGTCTGACTGCAGGGATGACTAAGGACTTTCGTGTTGCCACGAAAAACCTCCCCATAAGCAGCCACACGGCAGCATGTTATTACTGATAGAGAAGTATACCCGACATTCTAGTCCCTCATGCCTTTTTCAGTACCAATTGTTCCTAGCTATCGACCGACAATGAGCAATCTAGAATGAAGCAGTGTACATCTAAACGGAATGCACCATTTTACCCTGTAGCCAGACCAAGTGGTTACGTGCTCCTGTCATCTGGCGCTGCTTTAGGCTCAACAAATAGGCGTGAATAGGTTTCCGTTCATAGGTAAGTGGTATGCTCTAACTATCACCATCAACATTCAGTTTCAACAGGAAAGATGTTCACCGTGCAAAACGTCTGTTTGTTCATTCTATCATATCAAAGCGGCCCCTCAGGCGAATTCGTGTTTCTGAGAGTGTGGCCGCTTTGAGGCAAATGTTCGCATCGCAGGTATGTGTATAGATAGATAAGGAGAAGGCGTGTCGATCTCTGGAATCATAATCAAAGATTTCGGACTCTTACTGGAGTCAGAGATAAAAGCGTCAACAAAAAACAAGCAACAGTTAGAGAGGGCTGGGGCCAATCAACCGTTAAAGGGGGGAAGGGACCCATCAAACACCAGTACCGTCAGTCCGGAGACGCCTGTGCAGGGCGATGGATGCCGGCGCCAGATCGATAAATCGATTGACTTAGTTCGTATGTAAGGCCCAGGCTTCGATCAATTATCGGCTTTTCTTGTTGCCGGCGTGGAGATTATCCTCGCAGCTGCGACGTTAAACTCGCGACCGGTCTCGTAGGCGTGGGCAGCTACTTGCAGTATCTGCAGTAGCAGGTACTGCTACAGTTCTCTGCTTATGTCTCTGATGATGAAGCCGCAACGGATCTTGAAACGTCAGGCGAATAAAAGTATTTTCCCAGTGATCGAGTCGTCTTCTTCTCAGTTTGCACTTCAGTGTCTGTGCTTAACTTGGATGTTTCTCAACAAGTCAGTGCTGTGTCGTAAATGGACCCATAGTCACTTCTTCATGCTTTCATTGAGGGCATGTAAATAGACGATAGGAATTAAGCTCATGCAGCCCGATCATTTCTACTTCACACCTCAGTCAAATTGCCAAAATATTACCCCCCCAATTTTGACTAATTAATGTCATTAGCACGTTGGCTGTGGCCTTGGGTGGTTGCTAGGTTGTTAGCGCATTTTTTGTTACAGCTTTTCACGCTGAACATGGCCCGATCTCCGGATGCGGTTAAACTGGCTCAAGCTCGCACAGCAGATCATCTGCTTGGGGCCAAATGAATGGATTGGTGACAATTTAGTTTTGAAGTTAACTATGAGAACGTGCAATCTGTGTGACTGATGTTGTTTCCTATGAAGGACTAAATCCTATATGCCTTCCTACTCCTTCTGATCAAAGATATAATAGTCATGGAAAGAGTTAGTCAAACATAATCAAGTGCCTATATGATCCAAGAACCGACATAAAACGACTCAATGCGAACTAATGTCAAAGCTATTTTCATTGTCAATGTCTTGCCTCATATGCACACGTTCTATCGAAAGAAATTTAGTCAAAACACTTGTACTGTTAATTACTCACCAAAAAATAAGCTGTTTGAACGACCATTTTCCCAGAAAACAGGGAACAGCGGAAACAGTGTGCAAAGAAGTAAATAGCTTTGACTAGATAATAGAGAATACCAACCATTGTTATAGAATACATTACAACAATAGTTACTATGAGGTATGATATTAAGGCAAGGGCAGCACAAAAGGTTAGTCTATTGTAACCCGCCCAACTAAGTATCGTAAATCTTGATTTTGCTGTGTCACCCTAAAACAGGCGCTTGGGCACACGAATAGTCGACTTTAAGTACGTTTCCGATCTCAAGCTGATTAGCATAGGAGTCTTCGGGTGCTTGAGCCTCATTGAAAGACGTATAGCGGGAAGCCTTCCACACGGACATACGCAGACGGCCCGTCCACAGTTGAATGAACCAAAATGGAAACGTCTATAGCTCTTTGACAACTATTCCGGATAAGATAGTAGCATAAAGCTTGCAATTCGCTTAGCCAGCTACTTCACTTAAAAGGCTTGAGAGTTTGCAATTCTAAAGCCGTTAGGGTTGATTACAAGAGACCTCCGAAATGAAGATACTCTGAAGGGCAAACTGTAGTGATTGAATTGAGGTGAATAATCGAATACCGGGTGTATTTATAAGTAAATAAGAAGAGGAGGAGAAAGAAGAAGGCTCTTCGGTTGCTGAAATTATGACTTCATCTGAGCTTTCGAACTCTTATTGGAGTCCATCATTAGAGGTAAAAGTAGCAATAAAAACAAACTACAGTAGTAGAGGACGGTGACCAATCAAACTCCAGCGACGCCAGTCTGGTTGTGACTGCGCAGGGCTCTGCATGCCAGATCGATATATCGATTGAATGAGTTCTCATAGGACTGGCATCATTGGTGTTCGATTGCCCACTGCCCCCATAACTGTCACTTGGTTTTTTTTGCCGCTTTCACCTCTCATGGTGCACTTCATTAACAGTTCGAAAGCTTAAATGAATAAAACCATGATCCAAGTAATGACTGAAAGCAACCTACGAAGTGACGTCTTTTTGAAGTCCAGCCAGCTATTGTTGGTTTGACTGAAGTATATTCCAACTGGTCGTCTGATTTTCTTATTATCAGACTTAATCTGACGATAGGTAAAGACGAACAAACTGGCACGGAATAGGAAAATCCCGTTCGCACTCGACCCCCTCAGATAACCGTTGTATTAAGTTCTTCATTCACAAGAACACTGCTTGACTTGATATTTAATCCAGTTCAAGTAAAATAATCGTTCCAAAGTTGTTGTTGCTATCTTTGTCTTCGTTAACATGTGCATAGTGCTTTCCAAAACCAAAACGACACCGATTGTCCAAGTAAAACTCCCATGTAGCATAAATACGGAAGCTCTGTATGCTTATGCGGAGAAGAACGCATGATATTGGGTTAAACAAAGTGGTATATCTTTTCAACAATTAATCATCGGGCGTATAGATAGTGAAACTATCAGAGGTGGGTAGGGCTTATAAATGTTTTATGATTAGTATTCATCGCTCTCACAACGCCCACATGACGAGGTCGGCATGTCGAAGTCATTGGGAATGGAGGGAGGGGGGCGGGGTGAGCAATGTTCATAGGTCCGGCCAATGTATACCGCCCCACAGGAGCAGGTGAAAGAGTGAATACACACCCAAGTGACTTCAACGGCGGTCGGTCTTTACCCCCCAAAGCACAGGAGGGGAGAGTTCATGAAGCCTGCGCGTAGATTCGCCACAGGAAAGTGCTTGTGATCGCTGTCTTCAGGCGTCAGCATAATGGTGCGCTTGTTGCACAGGCCCGATGGTAAACTGCTGAAACCCGAATTGACTTTTCCAGTTTTATATGG